TACTTGCAAACTAAAGGGACTGCGATGGGAGCGAATTTCGCCCCTTGTTACGCCAATCTCACAATGGGCTTTTGGGAGAAACAATATATAAAAATAAACAACCCCTTTGCCAAATATATCATTTTTTTTGGGCGCTATATTGATGACATTTTATTAATCTGGGATGGTGATTTAAACGAATTTTTATCTTTTGTCGCATATTGCAATTCAAACTACCTTGGACTTTCTTTTACTCATGTTTTTAACTCTCAAGATATAATCTTTTTAGACTTGGTTTTGTTCAGTCACAGATAATGAAATTTGTAGTACAAATTACACCAAACCCACTAGTGGGAACCCATATCTACACTATTCTAGCTGTCACCATCCAGCCTGGAAAAATAATATTCCCAGTGGCCAATTCCAAAGACTAAGGGAAGAACTGTTCAAAATTATGTGATTACCAAGAACAAGGTTCTCTCCTTTCAAAAAAAGTTTTCTGAGAAAGGCTATCCCCCTTCCCTTATAAAAAACGCATATACCAAACATAGCGTATTGATAGACCGAACATACACTCAGGCCCGTGACCAGTCTAACTCGGTTAGGTTCATCACTGGTTTCAACACATCACATCGTGATATTACAAACATCATTCGCAAACACTGGCACATTTTACAATTAGATCCTAGATTAGCACCTAATCTCCCACGCGCCCCACAAGTAACTTTCAAGAGAGCCCGTTGTTTGAAAAACATTCTAGCCCCAAGCAAAATGTCACTGTCCACCTACATAGACAACGGCCCCCTTCCTACATTTGACGACAGAATTGGTATCTACAGATGCAACAAAAGAGGTTGTCTCACCTGTAAGTCCATCACCCATGGTAGATCACAGTTTTTGGACTCCCAGGGCAACAGCTACCACATTCGTCAGTTTATAACGTGTGCAACTGACCACGTCATATACGTTCTCACATGCCCGTGTAAGCTCCTATATGTAGGCCGAACCACACGCCTCTACGCAAACGCATAGGGAGCACAGAAGACTTATAAGAGATGGATGCGATAAGCATAGTGTCCCTAGGCACTTTTTGCAATCCCATCAAAATAATTTCAGTCTTCTTGAGGTCTTAGCAATCGAACATATTCCAAAGGGTACATTTACTGACAATGAAAGACTAGCCCGTTTGTGTAAGAGAGAGACGTTCTGGATCTACAAATTAGGTTCTATGACCCCCAATGGTCTCAATGAGGATCTTGAAATCCATAGCATTATTTAACAAGTTTGACTTCTAGTCCCCGGAACTAGGATCCTCCAGTGTGTTTTTTATTACATACAGTATTGTCTTCTTTTAATCCTTGTTTTTTAATCTGCACTGTCACCATGTATATATTCTGTGCACTCAATTACGAATACATGTTATTACGCATCTATTATATTTATTTAATTATGAACATATGAGCTACCTAATTTGATACCAGGATTGATTTTATTATATTCCTTTTAGTCATACCTTTTATACAGTCATTTTTCATATACCTTTGATACAGTCATTTTCATATGCCTAGCATTCACTTCTCCTACTCCCTTCTTTGCCCATATACCCATAATTACCTCACTGTAAACGCAATTTTTGACATAGCTTCCATGAACCAGCGATGTCATTTTTAACTTGTGTGTTTTTTTTTTTTTTTTTTTTTTTTTTGTTATTGTATTACCTTTATTTCACTAAAGATGAAAGTATATCATGCTTTCCAATGCTATTGTTTTTTATACATATCATTTTTTATAACTTGCAATCTGTACCTTTAAATTTGTATTCAGCATTGCTTCAGGACGAGCCGTCCGCTCTGATTGACACCCCATCCCCTGCTAATTACACTCAGCCAGCCTTCCCTTTAATGGTCTTCTATATAATGGCCGCCGGCCATGGTTACCAGAGACTTGACAAAGCGCAACTGCGCGAAACATGTCGTCTTGGTAACCCCACATATGCTCCCAGCTGAAGCCTACGCCGGGACACTGCCTTCGTTTGCCATGGTGACACCACCCAGGACGCTGGTACGCTGACACCACGTGATTTGAAGCCGACAGGAGCATTCTTTGATCTCAGCTCCCCTCAGAGCGGACGGGCCGTCTATTGGAATCACACTGTCCACTTCAGGCTGGTTAATTTTATTATACTTGCTACTTTATCTCACCAATAAAGATGCACCTCCACTAAGGTGCTTGTCTGAGAGCATTTTCCACAGCGCTTTTTTTTTCCAGTTTTCTATTTAGGTTTTGTGCTGCCCTAGGCAACACAAAAAACGTCTGCCCCCACGGACACACAACACCACCACCCCTTCCCCTCCGCAGAGAGAGCCTGGCATTGACAAAACAACACCCCTGCCCCCCACCTGTGAGAGCCTTCCATCATCCCCCCCCCCCCGGCAATAGAAAGAAAGACACCAATCTTCACAGCTCCGGACATCCCCGGGAATGAGAGTCAGGCTCTACGTACACCATCAAGCAACCTGCAGCCTCTCTCGGATCCCACCTGGTTCCTATGGCCCTTCTTCCATCCCTTCTTCTGGGGGGAGGTGCTGCCCCCTGAAAAATGCCGCCTTAGGCAAGTGCCCTGTGTGCCTTCCATTAAATACACATCTGCATGTCCTCACATACCACAGGTCAGTCTTTTTAAGAACTTCAGCATGTTGTTGTTCCTGCCTTCTGTATAGGACAGAATAGAAATAGGACAGTATAGGACACTACTGCATTCTGTAAAAAAAAAGATGTATAGATTGTCTACAAAGTCTGTAGGTCAGGGAGTATCGCACCAAAAATGAGATTTTTGTTGCAGGGGATGCTCAAAATCTGCCTTGTATCTTAGTGCATTCTTCTGGGAAAATCAGTGAGCCAATCACACAAGCAGGAAATTACATTTTGGAGGGGGGTGGGGGGTAGTTCTGTACACCATCTGTGTACAGAATACCTTCAGGTAGCCATATTGCATTGCATTTTACAGAAAATTACAGCACTGCAGATTAAAAGGAAGGATCTTTTTTAATAACATTTAATTACAATATGACTTGTATAGTAATTGTACACACTATGGGCTCATGACACAAAGAGTTAGTTTCCTTTTTTAAAATCTGAGATAAAGTACCTCAAAGAAAGGTCAGTTTACTAAAGATTACCACAAGCAATATCATGGTCATGTGACTCATTTGCATAGATTATTGCATGCGGTAAAAAAATGTTGAATTCACAATAAATAAATAACGGTTATGCGGTATTTAATGCAAAAAGAAAAAAATATATATCACAATTATACATGCAGTAAGCTGTTAAGTTCAGTTCACAAATGGAACAGAAAGTAAAAAAAAGATGCAATATTTATCACCATGGTTTTGCTGGAGGTATCACATGCGGTATTTTTTCAAATACAGTGAGGGGGTCCCCTCCAATCCATGCCAGGCCCTTCGGGTATAGTATGGATTTTAGGGGGAACCCCACACCAAAAATTTTTAAAACAATGGCCCTTCAGGTCTGCTGTGGATTTTAAGGGGAACCCTGCACCAACATTTTTTTTAAAAACTGGCATGGGGTCCCCCCTAAATTCATACTTGACCCTTAGAATTGATATGGATTTTGGGGAGACCCATGCACCATTTAAAAAAAGTTTTGACGTGAGGTTCCCCAAAAAATCCACACCAGACCTGAGGGCCATTTTTTATTTTTAGTTTTGGCGTGGGGTTTTCCTTAAAATCCATACCAGACCCCCATGCTGGTTTTTTCCTTGGTTTTTAATCGCCGGCATGCTTTGTCTACATTCAGCTGTCAGCAGGAAACCCACTGACAGCTAATAAGTCATCCGCTGTTAAGATTGCTGCAGATGCCTTCCTTAACAACTAGCTACCGTGCAATAAATTACCGCTTGAAAAATATGCGATAAATACCGCAATACTGATATTTTACAGCAAGAGTTATTTACCACAAAATTCTTAGTGAAATGCATATTTGCAAAAGATGTACTGCAAGTGTTTAGTTTACCGCTTTCGTTATTCAACTCGTAGTGAATTGATCGCAGAGTTTTTTGAAAACTTTTTTGCAGCTCACACTGCTAAAATAAAGCATGAGTTATATTATCAAAATGTGAGGTATTTATTATTATTATTATTATTATTATACAAGATTTATATAGCGCCAACAGTTTGCTTGTGCTTTACAATATAAAGGGAGACAATACAGCAATGATACAGTTCAATACAAGAGGGATAGGAGGGCCTGATCCTTGGAGCTTACAATCTCATGAAACCATTTGGTATTTAATCTCATGATGTTATATCCAGTGGGATGGATACAATGGGGAAAGGACTAAAACCCCTGTCAGTTTTTTTTTTTTTGCTAAAAAAGAGGTAAAATGGTTTAAACCATAGAAATCTGCCAACTTACTAAGTCAGTGAGCTCCCTGCAGCATATGTATTAATACAAAAGAAAAAAAAAGGTGACTGGAATAGCACGCAAAGGGATGCTGCTTTCACAGGACACATGTGGTGTATCAAAAACAACTAAATTGGCAGACAACTAATTTGGTAAAAAACAAAATATATTTATAAATGTCAAGTATTGAATGAAAATAGGATAAGAATATGCAAGCATACACACTATATTGCCAAAAGTATTGGGACGCCCCTCCAAATCATTGGATTTGGGTGTTCCAGTCACCTCCATGGCCACAGGTGTATAAAATCAAACACCTAGGCATGCAGACTGCTTCTACAAACATTTGTGAAAGAATGGGTCGCTCTCAGGAGCTCAGTGAATTCAAGCGTGGTACTGTGATAGGTTGTCATCTGTGCAATAAGTCCATCTGTGACATTTCCTTGCTACTAAATATTCCACGGTCAACTGTTAGTGGTATTATAACAAAGTGGAAGTAGCTGGGAACAACAGCAACTCAGCCACAAAGTGGTAGGCCACGTAAAATGAGAGAGCGGGGTCAGCGCATGCTGAAGCACACAGTGTGCAGATGTCACCAACTGTCAATAGCTAAAGATCTGCAAACTTCATGTGCCTTCAGATTAGCAAAACAACGTAGAGAGCTTCATGGAATGAGTTTCCATGGCTAAGCAGCTGCATCCAAGCCTTACATCACTAAAAGCAATGCAAAGCATCGGATACAGTGGTGTAAAGCACGCCGCCACTGGACTCTGGAGCAGTGGAGACATGTTCTCTGGAGTGCCAAATCACGATTCTCTGTCTGGCAATCAGATAGACATGTCTGGGTTTGGCGGTTGCCAGGAGAACGATGCTTGCCTGACTGCATTGTGCCAAGTGTAAAGTTTGGTAGAGGGGGGATTATGGTTTGGGGTTGGTTTTCAGGGGTTGGGCTTGGCCCCTTAGTTCTAGTGAAGGGAACTCTGAAGGTGTCAGCATACCAAGACATTTTGGACAATTTCATGCTCCCAACTTTGTGGGAACAGTTTGGTGATGGCCCCTTCCTTTTCCAACATGACTGTGCACCAGTGCACAAAGCAAGGTCATTAAAGACATGGATGAGCACGTTTGGGGTCCTGACCTCAACCCAATAGAACACCATTGGGATGAATTAGAGCAGAGACTGTGTGCCAGGCCTTTTTGTCCGACATCAGTGCCTGACCTCACAAATGCGCTTCTGGAAGAATGGTCAAACCTTCCCATAGACACACTCCTAAACCTTGTGGACATCCTTCCCAGAAGAGTTGAAGCTGTTATAGCTGCAAAGGGCGGGCCAACCCAATATTGAACCCAACAGACTAAGACTGGGATGTCATTAAAGTTCATGTGCGTGTAAAGGCAGGCAGCCCAATACTTTTGGAAATATAGTGTATAAATATCCTTCTTCCACCAATTTTGTCATTGAGATTTGCTTTCACTATCTATCCCATAGTCAAAAGAGTAAGCAAGAGGAAATCCCTGAAAATTAAAGAAATTTCTTTGGGACCCCGTGTCATCAGAACTAGTGTCCCCATTGGAAAATTTCCCCTCTATCACTTTTCTGGGGACAACCCACAAAAAGTTGGATTTTTTTTAATTTTCTCTTTCAATGATGACAGTAAACGGGAAAAAATAGAGAGGGTGAATCTCTCTAATAGGGACACACAGACAGCAGTAAAATCATGATAGGGGCTCTAATTCCACTTCACTTTATCCAAAACTAAAAAAAGGTTTTGCCTTTAGTCATACTTTAAGTAAATCAGCCCCAATGATTCCGTATTTTTCCATTTTTAGGTTTCTATGCATTACTGTTGAGAGAACTGATCCAAAAGGGTAAAGACTTCTCCAAATTGGCTATTATATTTTTACATTCCTTAAAAACCGCATGACTGGACCATGACTTTTTTAACTCATGCATTTATTTATTTCATTTAGTGAGTTGAATTTAACACCATTATATGAGGAAGTTACCCAACATTTTTGCTTTTTGGGGTAAATAATTCATAAGGTGATAGTGAATTGACATTTTCAGTATCGCATGAGATAATTTTTTATTTGCCATTGTTTTTAACACAAAGGTGGAGTTGAGCTGGCCATAGACAATGCGATTTGCTTTCCTGCAACCATGGGCTACAGGAAAGAAAATTGCTTGATTTCCCCCATCTACCATTGTGTTCTCCCGGCAGGGGGAAGCGGGGCACAGGGGGGAACCGTCCCTGCAGGGAGAACACAGTGATTATTGCTAGCATCCAACAGGCTGGTTGTACCCAAGTAGTACAACCAGAGCTTTTTTTCAGTGAGAACACAGGGGAACGCAATTCCGGCACCTCCAGCACTGAATGTATGTAATGGCAAGGGAGGCTGGAGGGTCCGTTGATGCTGGCTGCTAGGTGATCTATTTTGCATGGTGACCTGTTGTTGCTGTGGAGGGATCTATTGTTGCTGGAAGTGATTTACTGTTGAAGGAAGGGTCTATTGTTGCTTGCTGATGGGGGATCTGTTGTTGCTGCTGGGTGTCCATTGTTGCTGGGGTGGGATTTTGTTATGGGGGTATATGTAGCTGGGGGGGTCAATTGTTGCTTGTAGGATCTATTGTTGCTGGGGTCTATTGTTGCTGGCTGTAGGGGATCTATTTTAATGCTTTTCTTGCTATAATTAACAAATTCCATACAAAATAATACTTGGCTCTGTATTCTCTAAAAGGAGCGGTACTGGGAGGTGGGTAGGGGGTGGAACCAAGGGATAGTGCTCAGAAGTGGGGGAACAAGGAATGGCTCAGAAGAGAGGAGTTCCTGCTGCTATTATCTGAGAAAAAAGCCCTGATTACAACAATCTAATTGGGTACAATCAGCCTTTTTCTAATCTCAGCTAAACCCTGCTGAGCCAGCAAAGAATCAAACAAACTATGGCCAGCTTTACCCTTTAACTGATAGTGTGTGATAACCTGCTATTCTATATCGCCACCTTATCTGCTACTTTATGTGCATTCACTCCATCTGCTTTTTTATTTTTTCATTCCTGTTTTACCAACCATTCTCTATCGTCAGTTATCCTTCATTCCGACAGTAAATACTTAATGGTTCATCTCTGTTGGTCTGATCATTTGGCTGATATCATTATGCAACAGTAACAGCCAGATATACAAGCAGATTGGGGTTCTCTGTCCCTGAACTGCTTGTACTAGTGACAGCGAAGACATTAGGGGTCTTACAGAGTTAGCGAGTTTGAGAAATCAGCTCAATTTATCACACATGGGCTGTAAGGCTGGCCATACATAAAGTAGGCCATAGATGGTTCGAATCTTGGCCAGTTCACAAGGAACCGTCCAAGATTCGAACCATGTATGGGCAGACTGATTGTACGCAAGTGATCAATCGATCAACTTGGGTACAATCAGCCTGCTGGATCTGACAAGCGATTATCACAAGTGGCTGGTATAGCCACTAGCAATAATCATTGCCTTCCCCGCCGGTAGAACACAATGTCTGGACGGGAGGGACACTGTCTGTGTTGATGGGGGAATCAAGTGGTTGCAGGAAATTTGCACTGTCTATGGCTTGCCTAACTTAATTTTTTATTCATTCAACAAAATAACATACCCAGTTCCATATCCATACATCCAAGTTGGATGGGGGAATCTCTGTATTGTATCTCTGTCTTCTAACATCAAGGAGACTTCCACACCTTCAGAACACACTGATCAGTGCTGCAGGCTATTGACTACGGCACTGACTGAGCGAAAAAATACTGACAGGGCGGTTGAAAAGACGTTGATCGGTAGATTGACTTCTGTTTGACCACAGAAGCCACACATGATTGACATTCGGCCAGTCCAGGGGCGGACTGACAACTCATGGGGCCCCAGGGCAATAGGGGATCATGGGGCCCCTGTATCTTTGCCCAAACTCAAAAAAGCCTATGAAAACATCTCAAGGGGCCCCTACTGACCCCGGGCCCTCGGGCAGTGCCCGAGTTTTCAAATGGTCAGTCCGCCCCTGAGCCAGTCCCTGCTGAACCAGCCAAATTTGGATCCATGTATCTACCTCTAGGTAGATGCTAGGATTAGTTAGATTTAGTGCTAGTTCACTGTCTTCATTGGAACTGGGTGTATTTTTGGTAAATTTAGCTTGGCTTGCTATAATCTTTGTGGCTGCAATTAATTAATTAGGTCTGTTCAGTGTCTTCAGCAGCTGCCAGTCTGATAGCTCCCTCTGCTTTTCAGGAAAGAACTTTCTGGATAATGGGTGTGGAGCTTTACATATGGAAGCATGAATATTAATACAGCCCTGCCAATCCCAGGAAGCTTGGCCTGATGGATGCTGAGTAACTGTATATATTCTCTGGGCACACTGAGCTCTGGGTCTTTTCCAGAAGGAGAAGAACACAGCTGGGGGGGCTGTTTGCTCCCCTGGGCTATCCTGCCATGTGCTTGCTGTTCGAACGTCATATGACGCCCTCCTAGAACCGGACAACCGCTCTGTAGCTGTCATTCGGCTATAGAGCGGTTGACAAGTGGTTAAGGGGGTGTGACGGGGGGTGTCCTATACCTACATACATTAGCTAATAGGTGTTCCTCGTTCCCATCTCAAAAAGTTGGGATATATGCATACATACAGTGAAAGATAACACATTCCTAGGATATGGGTTGTTTAAACTATATAGCCTTTTACCACAACATTCACCGATGTGGTGTCCTGCAGTGCCGATCATTCTAAATGCCACTCCAACCTACTAAACCAATGAACCTGCATTGCAGAGCACCACAACGCACACTAACACACTGAGTTATGGTATGCTGTATTGGAAAAAATATTGCAGGTCTGATTACTGATCTATTTTGGTGCCTTGCCAGCACATTCTGATAAATGAGCAAAGTATGAAGGAGACCTAAAGGGATTATTGCTCACAGAATCCAGTAGGTGATAATGCCAAGTAACTATTTTGATTCCACTTATATCTTGCTGAGCTATTTTTGAACTGGTTACATGCCAACATAAGTAATAAATACAATTACAGGGCATAACACATAAATTAGAGGGCTAAATATACAGTAACATCTTGATAGATATGACACTTTCATAGTTAAATGGACAGTAAGGTCTCATACACAAGGACACTTAGCAACTCTTGTGTGCAGAGGCATTAAATCCCCGTCACTTTCTGATGCCTGGATGGCTGCTTGTGCCTTTGTTCAGCTGCCAATACAAGTGGCTGTGGGTGAGTGTGCTCAAGCTACTAACGTGGTACATCACAGGGTGTGTCAGTGGAAGACCTACCAGGGTCGCAAAGACCACACTTGCAACCGGGCCCTAGCATTCTGCTACTGTGGGGGAGGGGCCCAAGATGGCCAGATGGTGCTCAGGTTGGGGTGGGTGAGCGTTGACATCTGTAGAAAGGCGGAGGGTAGATCAGCACACAGCTGCACTTTGCACAGGACAAGACATCTCTCTCTCAGCTTTCGATCACCAGCAGCTCGGCCCCCCAGCAAACTGATGTCTCCATTGCTGGCGCCATTTTGTTGAAGTCTGCCCATATACACATAGCGGAGTTGGTCTTCAATAATATGGCGTCCAAAACTACAAATAAGGGATAAATGTTACTTGTGCTAGATATGGCAAACTACATTGAACAGGCAGGTTATATGAAGAGGGGAATGGGAGCACCGAAAAGAGAAGAGAAGAGGGTGATGGACCAAAGCCAAGGTCTGTGTGACTGAGCCTGACTTGCATCCAAGCAATGGAGCAGGTGAGGTCTGTGTGGCAGCTCCAGCCAGGCCATACAGAGACTATGGGGGAGGGGCACTGTGTTCACCAGAGTCCCTCCTCCACATCATCCCCTTTACATCAAAGTCTGCAGGATTCCACCTTACAGTGCAAGGTAGACTCTGATGTAAAGGGGAAATTTGATGTAAAAAGGAACACTGTAGATTCTGATGTGGGGGGTTCTGGT